AAAGAGAGAGAGAGAGTAGGAAAGGAGGGTCGGGTGATTGGAGTATTGGTTCGTGATCCGACCCGGGATCTGCCCTAACATCGAGAAAGACGAAAGTGATAGCATAAACCCCCAACCAAGAATTCGATCTGCGATAAGCAATTGGCGATGCAACCAGTGAGGGAAGAATCGTCTTCGATTCATCACCACCCTAGAAACTCTTCTATTCCTTCCGGTGATAATTCTGTCTGGGCCGATGTATCGCCTCTCCTCTCCGCCGCCTGCTCCGGTAGTCTCTCTCTCCCCTTCTGTATATCTATCTACTCATGTACCTCTTTGCGTTAAACTATTCATGCTTCTGCTTCTTTCCTGAGAAATCAGAGACCAGAGATGTGTTCTGAGAAGTTTTCTTCATAATCATTGTTTTAGCTTTGATAATCAGTGATTCTTTGGTTTACAACTTTGGATGAGATTGTATTAGAAACTGGAAACTTTGACAAGGTTTCTGCTGTATCAATTCTGTTAAACGATGGTGGATTTTCTGATTTAGTCTTTTTTTGCAGATCTTCATGAGGGCGAGCTCATTCATGGAGATAATTTCAATCTTTTTGCTGCCATGTCTGCATTGGAGGTTCCACACTTTTTGATTTCCTCCCACCTTCTTTATTTCTACAACAGATAGTTTGTGTTTCCATCCTTTCACTGTACATTGAAAACTGGATGGTGGCATTAGTTACTCTACTCAATCTTTTTTAGAGCCGATACGAAACTGTGCTTGGCTTAACATTCTTTCTAAAGGCTGCTATGCTTCCTGTTTATTTATGTTCGGTTTGATCTTCTTATAGAGTAACTGCGTATTTCAAAGTTTCTGATTGCCATACTATCATAGAAAATCCATCTATGCTCGAACTTCATTAACTCTGAAAAATATGTTAACAACATGTAGCCCCTTAAGTTACCACCCTTAGTTTGTTAGGAATGTCCAGACTGCCACTAGCTCACACTAAGCTTGTGAGATTGCCACAAATGCATCTCACACGTGGTGCCTATTTCATAATTTACTCTGATTTCAAACTCTTTTTCATTCTCTAATGGAGTCCTTGCTTTCCACTAGATAATGGACCCAAAGATGGACTCCGGTATTGTGTCTGCATTTTCTTCTATAGATGAAGCCATTGAAAGTGGTTTTGCGCCAGTACCTATAAGCTCTAATAGCACTGTTAATGTGGAAAGCATCATCGACATTATGGACCATCTCCTTGTGTGCGAGGTAATCTCCATCAAAGATGTGTTAAAATAATACTAAGTAAGTTGTAAGCTACAACTGTGAGGATATAATATCTCATATGTTCCTTTTCCGGGGAGAAGTAATCACTTCTCATTTGAGAATTCTGATATATGGAGATCTATGTAGCTAATCCCTATGCCTTGGAGTTGCTTTATCCACATTTTATGTTTTTGTTTTGTTTTATAGACTGCTAAGTGCACAAAGATATTACCTTATTTTTATTTATCTCTTGTCTCTTCCTTAAAACCTCTTACTCTTTTGGCAGGCAACATGGCACATGGGTCATTCATTGGCCCAAACTGTGTTTTCATGCATCTATGTTCTCAGGCC